TGCCTATCCCTGCTTGAAAAGTTATTTTTTCCTAGGAGCAACAGCAGCCAAAACTTGAGCCCATAGCTCAGGATGCATTTGTTTCTCTGAGGGGAAAGGGGCAGCCAACATGTTAGGCAATGAGCTGCTTGAGGCCATAGTACAAATGTTGAAAGTGTTTTTTTCCTTAATTTCAACATGGTGGACAAATGAAAGAAAAATTTAAATGTAGATTCAGCCAAGGGTTTGTGGCTAGTAAAGTATAATTTTAAGCATTTATCTTACTCAGAGTTCTGTAAGTATATTGCAAGCCAGCAAGGCTTTTTAATGAAGACATGTCAGAAAAATACAGTTGTGTACATAATAAAATTCACTATATATATGTAAATGAACCATATGAAATTAGTTTATATTCATATTCATATTATCATTATCATTATTATTTTATTTTCTTATATCCCGCCTTTCTCCCAAGGACTCAAAGTGACAAACAACAAAACGATACAATTTAAAAACAGTACAACATTAAAATATATAAATATAAAATTTAAAAAAATAAACAATTTAAAGAGTTAAAACAATTATGAATTAAAATGTAATGTCTTAAAATACAAAACTTAAAATTTAAATTGCACATCATTTAAAACCCATTCCTTATCAGTTTGCAAAGGCCTGACAGTACAAGAATGTCTTTATTTGCTGCCAAAAAGACAGCAGGGATGAACCTTGGTCTCCAGAGTCGTCCAACACTCAAACTGGTACACCACCCTGGCTCTCAAGTCCTAGTTTACTGCCTGGTTAAGTAAAGGTTTATTTATCTTGAGTTTAAAACAACTGAATTGCCTCCTAAACATACACCTAGAAGGTGTGATGGGGGGTGGGGGAGGTTCAGAACAAGATATTAAATTACTACTTGTTAAATCACTGGTCACAATAGAATGTAGTCACTGTATTTTATTGTGGCACCAGAGCTCTTGACAGAGAAGGCTCAATGTCTCAGAAAAAAACAAAACAATTCCCATGATTCCCTAGCACTAACCCTAACCCTTAAAGTGGACTCAATTTTCACTATTTCTGGCAGTCTGCAAAGGCCCTCAAACATGTTGCTGAATCAAGGGGAAAGGTTTAAAAAGAACATACTGAAATCCTGTTAATCACATGAGCTTACAAAA